ACCATCCTCTGGCGAAATTCTCTCCCATTTTCTCTCTCTCTCTCACCCTCCCTGTTTCCTTCTTTTCTTTCTTTTGCCTCCTTGCCTCCTTACCTCTTAAATTCCACTACCGCGGATTCCGGTGTCTCTCTCTCTCTCTCTCTCTCTCTCCCCCCCCCCCCCGACATTCGCAATAATTTTTCATTCCGTTTGCATCGACCATGTGGCATCGACCGCGACTGCAGAAAAACCCGTGATTTTCCAATCATGGATCCCGTTAGTCGCTTAAGAGGGGATGAATGGTTCTCCCGGTCCGTGGACGGTAGAGACCCTAAGAGGGTCTCTAGTAAACGGAGAGCATTAGCGTGCAGCATGATCCGTCCTCTCGCGTAAATCATAGATCCAATGACAGAAGGCAGAAGATACCGTTTGCATGCATGCAAACATGCATCTCGAGTCGCTCCTATCGGCTGCATCGCGTCACGTAGTCGCCGCGTTGCGACACGGAGGAAATTGCCACGGCTAATGAGAAGTTTAATGGTTTCCTGGTTTACATTGGTATTAGCGTTAAAATATACATATATTTTTATTGCGTGTCGATGGGATGTAAACATTAAACCGCAGCCGTAAAGTATACACCTTGCACGCTCGGATCACTATTGTTTCGACCGTGATTTCGATTAGCGACAAGCTTATTCTACAATATTGATTCTACATACAATAAGTATCGGTAGTTCTAAGTCTTATCAGTGAAGTTAACCAATAGAATTAACTTATACGACTAACACAGATTGATCAACTTCATCGATTAAAACTAAGACTTCCGATTACAGATTCATTGTAGAATCAGCATTCGCACTATGTGCATAATGCAGACTGGACTGCCTTGAATTAATACAGTAAGTATTGCCAGAGCTCTTTCAACTTTGTCCTTGCACCGAAGCTTTAGCTCGGATCTACAATAAGTTTTTAAGTCTTAAGCTATAAGAAATTGAATCATAGGCCGTATATTCATAATCAGTTCTTATATTCAAGATCATCTTAAGTTCAGTCTTAAAATGTCACGAATCAGAGAGCCGCATTAGCATCTTAAGATTAAGATCTTACTTAAATTGATCTTGAAATAAGAATCGAATACTATGAATACTGATCATAGTCAATTATTCTCGCATTCGATTAATTAGTCAATTTTTATGGCTTAAAGCTTAAAACACCCATTGTAAACTTAACAACCTTAAAAATGCTCCTGCAGCTATAAAACTTCCATTTTTATATGATATGCCATTTCATTGTTTACATCAACAACTTACCTTTCCGATTTTACGGCAAATTTGACTAGATGCTAATCGCTGTATCTGCTGACGTAATCGTAGTAAAAACACGCCATACTGTTCTATTAGTATCGCTGACGTCATGAGAAATGAACGGAATTGTACGGCATGGCGATGCAACGGACGTAGGACTTCGTCGTGACAGTTCGCTATATGCATGAATTATAATTAAGGATAATATCCGCGGCTTTCTGATCTGCATGTAGTTTATAGCGGATGCAAGTGATAAGATGATTATTTAGGGCTCGTTTCCACCGAGCGCGTCACACGTCGCGTCGTCCATCCGCGAATTCCATCCATCTGCGACATGAGTTAACAAAAAATCAAAAAATCCCATTTTATATTATTTGTCGTGCGACTCTTTGCGCACGTGATTGGTTAACTCGTGACGCAGACCAAGAGAATGTATATCATTTGCCTACATCGCTAATTGGCTAATTTGAAATAATATATTTTTATCAGTAAGCAATAAAAAATACTAGGAATCGTGCAACCGATGTGCATGATGTATGCAATTGTCCTATATTATTATTTGATATTAAGTAATATTTTAAACATATTCCTTAAATATTAACTGTAACATTTTAAGAATATTGTACTATAATTATATAATATTAAGTAATATTCTCAAAATATTAATGGAAAGTTATATGTTCACTCCTGATAATATTACATGATTATTAAAAGTAACATTATTTAATGGTACTGCAATATTGTATAAACATTAAAAAGTATTATAACAAAATTTACTTTAATTTGTAAAAGTGTTACAACTGTTTAATATAAGTATACGTTTAAAGACTGAAAATAATTTTGGCATGCAATTGTAGATATGTACTTAAAATCATGCGAAAACGGTTTTTTAGCACAAGATGCAGCATAAACTGATAAGAACTTTTCGGTATTGGATTGTGAATTCAAATTGCACTAAATTAAGAATAATTAATATTTATAAATATTTTAATAATATTTCAGGGATATTAAGATATAATACCTAGGATATTATATAAGTGAACATATAACCTCTATAGAATACTCTCATAATATTAAAAAATATTATATGGTATTTTCGAAATATTATAATAATTTATTTTAAGTTTTTAACAGTAACCATATAACATTCTAGGAATATTTTGAGATGAAGATGTGTACAAATGCATCGTTTCCGATGAACGACGCGACGCGTGATGCGCTTAGTGGAAACGCACCCTTAACATCTTCCCTCGGGCGCCGTTAGTCCTCTTGTTTTGCTCGTCTCTTCCGAGAGTGTATCTTGGAATGTACATACAAATGCGTAATGATATATCGCTTTAATAAAAAGCGCAGAGAAGAAAAGGATTTTATCATAGCGGAACCATAATTGCTTCCGCATTTTATACGAAGATCGTTAATCTTTTAAGCAATTATTTAATATTGTATATGTATATATAGAATAGAATTCTGAAAATATAGATATGCATATCTTTGAACGAAATTGAAATAAATTAAGATCAGCTAATCAGTCACTTTCTTAGGAAAGTTCTGTGTTTTTTTAATCAAATGCGCTTGCTGCATTGTAAAATTATCTCGCATTAAGGCGTCACACTAAATATCGTGTACGAGAGACTCAGGCATTAATAATAATGACGAAAAAGTGGTGCTGATGAATCGGTTGATGAGCCAATTTGCATGAAGCCTCTTAGCTACTACTACTGTACCCTCTATTTATCCCGGGGGAGGAGGGAACAGAGAGTGAATGTTCGTAATGGACGTGCCTTTCTTTCGAGATAGTCTTTAAGCAGATTCACTCTCCCGAAGAACGACCATGTAATAACGATTCTGCTCTGTAAGCAAGTGGTTTAAAGTATCAAACTAGCTCTAAAAAAATCACTTTTCATGAGGAGAAGAGCCGTAAATGCAGTGGCAGCTTGACAAACTAATAGCGAAACTTCTTCGAGAGATCTCACGCGATTTTGCAATCCGCTTAATCGTGGTTCCAAGGAGTCGCATCAATTGTAATGAAAATATGGAGGAAAATCGCTTGTAAAAATACCTCAAATTATCGATAGTGTTTGACCGACATTAATGATAGTGGGGAAAATAATACCCTTTGCGAAGGATAACGACTGATCTGAGATCGTTAAAAAAAAAGTTAACGTTTCACATACATGGTGATATTTTTCATCCTATCCTTGTTTTGCCCATGAAAAGTCTGAAAGTAAAATTTTCAGTATTTTAACTTATTTTTAGTCTGCGAAAAAGACTATTCGGTGGAGCGAAAAAAATATCATTTTAACTATTACAAAGTCAAAATTTCATCCTTTAAAACGAATTCAGATAAATTATTCTGCGATTTCTGAAAGCTAAGATACAGCCTCTTAAAAATCGGCAAAATTTGTAGATTTTAAAATAATTTCCTGATTGTTATGCGTAGCGTACATATATAAAAATACAACTTGGTGTATCTAACGAACCGGAATTTAATAATCTTTCACTATAACCAAGCGATCTGTCGCCATGAATTGTTAGACAAGCACTGGGTATATCGAGCAGGCAATGACCTCGAGTAGAGCCTAGTGCAGTGTTCGACCTCAGCAAGGATACTCGCAATCTGCGGTGCATCGGCCCAAGAGAGCCCGGAGAGACGTCAGATCGCTGACTTTACATTTCACACACCCACCTAACAATAGGTGAACAAGGATCCCAGCAGCTTCATTATGATTGGGGAAGGGGATAATGAGAGGAACGCTGAGGCGGATCCCAGTGTCTTCAGTTACAATCCTGACCGGTCTTTTTTTCCTCTTACGTACCAATTGCAAGACACTGCTGTCATGCGATACGGACTGGTAAAAGGAAAACCAACTATGTACTTCAATCTTCCCGTGCTTTCTGTCATCCCAGTCGAGTAAATTTTAAGTCCACGTTTTCATATTTTTACGTTAGTAAAAGACTCGTTTCTTTGAGTTATCTCTTTCAAGTCTCATGCGTGTAAAAGCATTTTCTACTTTGCCGAAATAATAAAAGCTGATAAGTAAGTTATATAAGTAAATTAAATTATTTCAATGATTGTTTATCTTTCATATTTTCCATATATTTTTCTTCTAAACATTGAGAAATGACAATCTCTAGTTTGTCTGTTTAACAAAAGTATCTCAAGAGAAAATTTAATAGACATTTAGGTAGAAAAGAAAATTGGAATGCGTTGTTCATTTAAAAACTATTATTTCTGTTAATCTTCAATTTTTTAAAAATTCATAATAGCTAGCTTTTCATGCAACGTTTCAACTCAATTTAATGTAATAAGCTTATTTTACTCGCTTTCTGGTCTAATTGCAATAATAATAAAACTTTTCGAAAATTTTTCTCTCTGTTACAAGAACTTTCATGATCATCATTCATCAATAAAACAAACTTTTATACAAACATTTTATTAAATTTTAAATAAATTAAAAAATTATTATTAAATTTTATATACATTAAAAATGCTTTTCTCTTTTTAATTTTTATTTTTTTAGTAATTAAATACATTCGAAGACAACAGCTGATTAATTTCATATTTCACGTCCATATAGATATAAAGATAATATAACACTGTGCTTCTTATGACATTTATTTTTGATTTCTCGAATTTTTATTTCTAGCGATTGTAAAATCTAACATTTGTAATGAAGTTCAGAACTAATACTTATGGTTCCGTTGTCTTTGTTTCAGGAAAACGGTGGTATCGAATATTTCAACACTATCGTGGTACAGCCACATTTGAAGTTGGTCACGAATCAAGGCAGAGGTTTTCACGTGAGATGCAGATACCAGACACGCGACAAAGTTGTAACGAACGATCAGACTCAAGTTTCCATGATGCAGTCTCTGCCATTGCAGGTAATAAAACATTCGACGAAATGAGATATATATATATATATATATACACACACCATTCAACAAAAACACCATAAAACAAAATTAAAGGATCACTTATTTCATCCATATCTAATTTTTCCATATTTAAAGACTTTTCCGAGATATAAGGCCTGAGTCAGACTTTAGAGACACTCTGTATAGATATATATATTTTTTTCGGATAAACAAACTTTCAAGAAGATTAAAGTAAAGAACTAGATAAGGTATCACATAAATTGCGAACTGCCCGCAGGCAACCGCACCGATGCCGGGATGCACGATGAAAATCTTCAGTGGTGATCCAACGCAGCATCACGTGGCGGAGAATGTAAAGATTGGCGATCCCTTGACCCTGGTCATTAGCATCGACAAACAAGAGATGTTCGGTTTGAAAATCTCTGATTGTCTGGTACGCGATGGCCTCGGGTGGGGCGAGCAGCGGCTCATAAACGACGAAGGGTAAGTCAGCATTGAAGAGATTTTAGATAAGATTTTAATAACAAAGACGAAGATAGTGACGATGAACAAAGCGAATTAGTTTTTTTTTTCAATTTCTTTCTTTCGTGGTAGGATCATTCAGCTTGTCTTGTTCACAGTTGTCCAATAGATGGTGAAATAATGGGACAATTCGTCTACAACGAGGATAAAACGGAGGCCAGAGTGAATTTCCAGGCGCACAAATTCCCATATACGGCGAGCGTATATTATCAATGCAACGTTAGGCTGTGCGTCAAGCAAGGCGGAGGATGCAGTAATACGGTACTGCCGTCATTATAATATATAGGATTAGACTGTATAATAATAGTCCTCCGCGATGATTGCTAAGTACTACGCGTTTATAATAATTCTTTAACAATTTTATAATGACTAAATGTTCGGAAAATATTCCTGAATTTATGAACGGTTTATCGTTTGAAAATATCATGGTATTTACACTTCATTGGCACGATTACTTGATTGAACTTAATCACATAGTATGTTATACGTTACGCGCGCGAGATGTTACATAATATGTGAAAAGAAAATATTCGAGCTCCATATCAATCCTTCCTCGAAAACTTGTCGCGAATAGTCTGTCTATTTTTTGCTTACAGCCACCGTTATGTAATTCGATAGTCAGACGACGCAGAGATACCGCTAATGCCCATGAGGTGAAAGGTGTCGAAGATCTGGACGGTACCCCGGCCACGATCGAAGTTTACAGTGGTCTTTACGTCAATGAAGCATCGGACGTTGGTTCCAAGTCAGATTTTTCCAACGACGTCTTTCGTGAAAGGGTAATACGAATTTATTATTTGATTTCTGCTGCGGAGATAACGTTAACTCGAGAGTAGTCATTCAGGTTTTTTTTTTTTTTAAATAAATGATTACGTGTTTTTCACAATGCGAATGAAAATCATTACTATACATATTACATATTATGAATTCACCAGAAAAGACATGAAAATGAAATATATCAATACTAAAATAATAAAATATTTTGCTGGAGATTTGTCCACTTTCGATTTTTTGTCGCAAGATCAGATTTGACTATTTAAAGACTTGAATAACGGAATTTTTAAATAAAATAGGATCAAATTCATTTAATTTTATCATTTTCTGGATTTCTCTTTTTTAGGCTCTTGATGACCCAAACACCATTTGCATATCGCAGAGAAGTTTCGCTATTGGGATTGCCGCCGCCGGTCTCATACTCATGCTAGCTGTGGTAGCCGCCATCCTAATATTACTCGCCAAGAGACGGCACAAGAGCCTATCCACGACAGGATCGTCCATCTACAGTGGACCGTACACTAACACCGCTTACAGCCACAGTAGCTAAGTCCGCCTACAGCACTTAATAATAACTAAGTTCGACGCGAGATTAAGATAAGCCAAGATGTGGTTCTACAGTAAATCGAGTTACCGTAGAAATATCTAATTTTTTAATATAATGATGTTGAAACACCGAATTTGACATGTGCAAAATTCTAGAATAGATCATCGATGAAATAAAAGAGAAAAAAATGTTGAAAATATTACGTAACTTTTAACGTATAACCTAGAGTGATTGATAGAGGTCGGAGGCGCTTCTTTGACTAACTGCACACAAACATTACTGTAGATTTCTCTAAAAATTAGGCATCTTAAATTTTCGGCACTTTACTGTAGAACCATCTTAAATTCATTGCGTTCATTGATTTTCATTTTGAAATTGACTAAATTCTTTATAATCTTAATGTTTTATATTGAATTTTAATCAAATCTTAACGAATTAATACTGAAAGTATGTCAATTGATATGCGGATACCTACAACTCGCTGATTCGCGTAAAGTACACACAAACAGTCTCGTCAATGCGCATGCCTTAGGGCCATGTCTTCTGACCTCCGATTTCAGTATGCAATTTAGTAATATTTCGTTATTATTTATTACAATTTCAGTAACAAATTTCCATTCATACAGGTATTTTAATAAATTTATTGCAATTGTTTTATAAAATATTTAAAAAGTGTGTAATTTGCAAAGTCGCTATTTTGAATTTGTATTAGTAAATTTTGAAATTCTCACTAGAAATTAAAAATCTTCGATTTAAAAAATCTTTGAAAAACAATATCCTGACAATTTTAATATTTATAAAAAAATAATTATTAGATATCTATACATCACATGTCCTCTGAAAGAGTTATAAGTACTTAAATCAAATAATCAATAATAAAGCTCGCTAATTGATTGCACTTTGTCTGACTAATAATTTGCTGCGAATGTATCAATGGCAGTGGTATAACTTTGAAACTAAGATTCAGTGTGATGTGTGCATGAGTTGATTATAAATCTCCGATAAAACTGCCAGTATGATGAACGAATTGCAAAAACGCAAAGCAATAATAATTTCGTAGAAACGAATTAATTAAAATCCGAAATCACGCACTTACCCCATAAATTATTCCGACGTATACGACAATACGATACTTGAATGAGTGTGACATATGCGAGCGCTCAACATAATCAGATTGTAATTCATTTATAACGCTTAAACATTAATGTTAATTAGTCTAATTGAAATGAAACGCTGTTCCAACGTCAGTATATTCCGGATCACTCAGGAGCAATCATGAAATAATATTTTCTAATGATAAGTGCGCGTTTCAAACGGTTCTAATAAAACAAAATTCAGCTTCGAATTAAAATGTAAGTTTGAGGCACGCCGGAGAATACCGATGTCGCGACAGCTTGGAGCGTTTAGATATTAATTGACGAAGACAAGGAAGTTCTACTGCTAACGCAGTCGCATAACTGGGTCCAACGTGGTGATGGGTACATGACATGTAAAATTTTACATTTAGAGAGAAAGAGAGATAGACACCTGGCGTAACGTAAGTATTAATTTCTCAAGCACTGTATGCCTCCGTGTAAGAACAAGGTGTTGTATAATAGTTCTCTGAAAATGACAATGTATTGTGATAGCTGTTCCGGATGGACTTTGATGTATCAAATAAAACAACGCCGATGCTTACACGTTTTATCAGAAGCAGACAAATTAATCTTCGCCAATTTAAAGGCTAAATGATTTTTGTGATAGGCGTTCAAGTTCTTTTCTTGAAAGTTTTTAATCATTTTAATTATTTTGAATATCGTTAACTGAAAATTCTTGAGTGTCTGTGTTCTTAAAAGCGTGAAATGAATATTTGAAATATTCGAAAAATGATTGAGGCTCATCATCATCTTTAATGTGCTTACGGGAATAAACACTCTTACGTCAAGTATCGTTATTAAAAGGTGTCTTAAAAGTCGATACAGAGCAGAGTATCGGCCTGTTATAGATTTTAAAGAATGACATGTAGTAAATATGTTTTTCAGTGTTTTCTCCAATCTCTCGAGAATATCTCGCTTGCGTGGATACGGGCCTTCGAATGTTGCGCACGAATTTACGTAACTCAGGGGCGAGATCATCCTTTCCTTTCGTACTAAGTACACCAATAGGGTAAACGGTTTCCAGTCCTAGTATTACATCCTCTCGAAAAGTGCAATAACTTCGAAGCGTTCCGTGGATCCCGCGGAATTTCTGTCAAGGATTAGAATTGCCCGGCGAATAGATCATACGTGATTTCTCGCCGCGCCATGGCATTGGTTCATAGTGATCATTGGGGACGAAAATGCCTATGTAGTACTTCTTTCTCGCGTTAGAAGGCAATATGAATTCCGATGCTCCCACAATGTTCCTCTGGACCCTTGTCAAAATCAAAAGAATCTACAACGAATTTGTGTAAATAATAAACATTTAATAAAACTAATAATTGTAAAATGTTCCTCTCAATAGTCCTTCGATCCATAATATACGATCTTTCTAAGAGAGTCTTTTTTTATCGTTTCTATCGTAGTTCTTCGTATCACTACGAATTAAAATGATTCATAGTCCGAATTTCCGTATATAACTTTATAGCTTGGACCTTATGCGATATCAATTAGAAGTTTGAAATCTTCTCTCGATTGAGATAATTTATTCAAAAATGCAGTACATGTATACCTGTTTAAAGAGAAAAAAATACTTTTTTCACGCGAAAAAAAATTATTCTTAATGCGCATTAGTACATATTGTTATCTGAAAGTATTAAAATTTAAGTACCATCCTAAAGTTTTAACTAAAAAAGTTAAAAAATAAAGAAGTTAATGACTATTATTGAATGCTATTCACTTCTTTTACTTCTTTTACATTTTTCTCAAACATTTTTTTAACATGTTATTTGATTCGTAATCTTTAATAAAATATATTCTATAATGTTCAAAATATATTCCATATTTTTTTTTGTTAGTATCAGACGAGTAATTTTAGAATATAGCATCAGTTGATCAATTTGTCTAGTGTGATATTTTACAAAAATGTGACAACGAAGGATTAGATTGCAAATGAGTGGGAAAAACTTTTTTTTAGAACTCTTCATATAATTTCAGAATTTTCATGTAAATTTCAAATTTTTCAGATTTTTTTTGTATAATTTTTTAATTTTTTAGAAAATTTCTTAGGTTTCTTTATACATTTTTCGGAAATGTCGAAAAAGTCTGTATCTTTTCTAAAAATTTTCATATGGAAGATGACCAGGACACTAGAAGCCATAAAAATTTAAACTCTCAAAAGTACTACATTTTATTTACTATTTTATTATTTGTGGAGATATTAAGCTCGAAATATAATAAAGTTCATTTGGAAGCATATTTAGACGTATTAATTCGTCACGTAAATTGTTTCAACGTAGGTAATGAAATTTTAGGCATTAAAAATTTTATTTACGCATTAATTTAGTGCATGACTCTCGTATACTCTTAATAACTTATTACTTCTCATTCTATAATTAATTTCTGAAAAAAATTTATAAAATCTGAGAAGTTCAAGATATTTTTTTACAAATCTCTTCATAAATTTAAAATATGACAAATTCAAAAATTTGGTGGACATGCAATGTCTCGAGAAAAATTTACCGAAAGTTTCTACAAAGTTGGGATGTCCCGAAATGACATATTACCAAAATTTGAGACGTGCGACATTGTTCCGAAGAGTTATTATTGTTCTAAAAATTGTATCTAATAAACTAAAATCAAAATTCAAAAAAAGAAATATAATATCCTAGAGAAAAATACAATCGTAAGATCAATAATATAAATCTTTTCGGTATTTAGTATTTTTCTCGAGGAAGAAAATCTCGAAATTATAAAGGGAAAATATAGAAACATGCATAATGTATATAATAAATAAACTTATGCAAATAACAATCTCAGATATATATACATATATGTTTTTTAGCACAGAATACTTAAAAAATAACAAAAATAACATCAGAGTTTATAATGACTGCGTTCAACAGGATTTTCTTAATATTCGACTGTGATTAGAATTGTTTAAGGATTAACGTAATTCCCCGATTAATTACAAAGATTTAGAGCAAATAAATATTTTGTTTATTTACAAAACTACTAATCTCTACAGCGCAATGTAACTTTGTATAAATCATCTTAAATACTAAAAGTATTTGTATTAAAAAATTGAGAATTAATTTTGTTATTATTTTATTAAATATTTCTAGACATTTTCATTAGAGCACAGATAAAAAAATACTAATTCTTGTTGAAATAACTTTCGATCCAGATGGTAATTGATAAACTTTTGTATCACTTTTAAGGGGATGCTGACGTACGAAACTATCGATATCACAGGTTAGAAAACGTAGAATAGAAAATCCATTCACATGCTTAAAGTGTACACAGAAATAAATAAAGAATACTTATCTTAACTTTAAAAACGGAATTTTAAAAATATACATATATATATATTAAAATATTTTTGTGACATTGTCTCGACTTTTTAAATTTCGTAGTTATGACTTTTCGGAACATTGCATATGTCGACCAAAATATTGAGATGTAGGAATTTTTCTCACCACAGTGATTATTCTGGCAAAAATAACATTGGAGCGTATAAGTTAAATGTAAGGAGAAAATGACGAAAATGTAAATGAAATTTTTAGAAAGTGTAAATTGGAACCGAGTGTTTTAAGAAGTAAACTTTTTTTCTCTCTTTCTCTCTCTCTCTCTCTCTCTCTCTCTCTCTCTCTCTCTCTCTCTCTCTCTACGTTTCGCTATTCCAATTTACATTTCTAAATTTCATTTATTTCACCTTATATTCAATTTACGTTTCAATCATTATTTTCGCCACGATAAAACAAGGAATGGAAGTGTTTCGAATGTCACAAACAAATAATCAAACGCAAATTATCAAACGCGAGTGTCTTCTTTCTTTATTGAATTATATATATAATTCGCTTTTTGAAAATATGATATAATATATAT